ACGGACGACGCCGAAATAAAGTCGTCGAGGCGGAAGGGGCGGTGCGCTGGGGTGCTGGGGAGCGACACATGGCGACGCATGGCGACACAACGCCGAAATAAAATGGTCGGGGCGCAGGGGGGCAGCGCGCTGGGCTGCTGAGGAGAAGGAGAGGGGGGGGGGCGACGACGACGCCGCAATAAAGTCGTCGGGGCGGAGGGGGCGGTGCGCCGGGGTGCTGGGGAGCGACACATAGCGACGCATATCGACACATTTCGACATATAGAGACATGTATCGACCGACGCACACACACACACACACATCGACGCATAGCGACACACAGCCACACATAGCGACGCACACATGGAGACGCATAGCGACACACAGCGACACAGACACATATAGCGACACATATAGCGGCACATGAAGGGCACGAGGCACACAGCGACACATATAGCGACACATGAAGGGCACAAGGCAGCTGGGGGGGAGCGACGACGACGCCGAAATAGTGGTCGGAGCTCTAGACACCCTGTGCAAGAGTATTAAAGGGGCAACGTGCAGCTTCCTAGGGATATTGCGGGGCCTTTTGGGGGTGTTTTCGAAGTCTCTCGGGGGCCACTTGGGGGCCTGTGGAGGGCCTCGTCGGGGCGCCCCAGGAACCTCTCTATGGCGGCTACGGGGGGCCATCTTGGAGGACCGCGCTCGAGATGCAAATTCGCGCTTCCCCTCTGAGCCAAGATGGCGCAGTCCCTTGAACAAAGTTTAACGCAACAGGAGGGCTCTACTGACCACCCCTGTTTCATAAAGAGTTGCCCAGCTGTGAGGGGACAGGTCCACCTGAGTTCGACATGTCCCTGGTTTGACGGCCTTCGCTCCATCCCAAGGGGCACATTGGCTCCCTTTACGGCGCCAGCCGCAACGACATTTTACGGCCCCACTGGGAAATATGGGGGAACTCCCGCCAGAGACCGCAAGGCTAGCCGTAACCTCCGTCGAGGGAGCTGTTGGAACACCTGGGTCCGAAAACGGCGCCGAAAAGGCGGCAGGCGCGTGCCAGTTTTCTTTTGCCCGGCACAAAACACCCGAACTGGCCGCGTGCGAAGCGCGCGGCCCGCCTCCGAGGAGAATGCCCAACCCGCCTGCGTGAATTCAGCACTCCCTGCGGGGTCGAGGAAATGCCACGCCTGCCAGGCCTTGCGAGCCCGAAGCGGATAGAAAGACCACCCCCGGCGCACCCCTTGTGGTCCCGAAAAACTGCCACGCCTGCCACGCCTTGCGAGCCCGAAACGGGTAGGGTAGGGACCGCCCCTAGCGCACTCCCTGGGTGTCGAATAAGTGCCACGCCTGCCACGCTTTGCAAACCCGAAACGGATAGGGAGTCCCCCCCCAGCGCACCCCTTGCGGTGCCGAAAAACTGCCACGTCTGCCGCGCTTTGCGAACCCGAAAGGGATAGGGGAACTACCCCCAGCTCACTCCCTGTGGTGTCGAGGAAGTGCCAAGCCTGCCACGCTTTGCGGGCCCGAAACGGGTGGGGAGACCACCCCAGCGCACCCCCTGCTGTGTCGAGGAGGTGCCACGCCTGCCACGCCCTGCGAATATTGCGCGTATGTGTTGTGTGGTGTGCGTGTCGTGTGTATGATGGGTGTGCGGCTGTATCGGATGGTGTGCCCCGTATGGGTGCCCATGCAGTATGTTGTGCAAACGTCTTGGGTGTATGATGCAGTGAACACGCCAGGCGTGCACTGGTGTTGTATGGTGCGTCTGCGATTGTGTGCATGCATGCGATTGTATGAAGACACGTGTCTCATGCACGTGCCGTGGGCTCGAGAGGCTGGCCGGGTGGCTGGCCCCAGCGGCCCTGTGTGCGCGGCCGGCGCATGGATGGCGGCGCGCAGCTGCCGCTGGGCTGGGTCTGGGCCTGGTGCGCCGTCTTGCTCCACGCAGCAGGCGGCGGCCCGCCCCCCCGCTGCTGGCTGGGCCCCCCGCTGCTGGCAGGGGCCATGAGGAGCCGGCGACGCCCCCTCGTCGGCGGCTGCGGTCACCGCCGGCGAGGCCCCAACGCCCGCTGGACCCGGCGGGCGGGCCGACGGAGGCGCGGCCGAGGGCGCGCGGGCGGCCCCCGGCGCCGGAGCGCGCTCCGCTAGCTAGCGTGCCTCGGCGGCGATGGGGGGGCGGCCCGGGCGCAGGGGCACCCTGGCCGGCGGCGCCGAGCCAGCGAGCCGCCGCGCAGCCTTGCCCCTCCGAAGGCCAGGCCGGCGCCAGGGCCGGCGCGTCGGCTGCCGCGGGGCGCGCGGCCAGCTGCGGACCCAACGCCGCAGGGGCGAAGGCGCCGACGACCCCCCCGAGGAGATCGAAACCGCGGCTGACACCGGCGGATGGCGCGAGGACGCCGCCCCCCCCCCAGCGGCGGCGAGGGCGGCAGCCGGTGGGTGGAGCCGCGAAAGACCGCACGCCGAGGCAGCCCGCCAGCCCGCAGCTGGCGAGGGCTCGGCCGCGACGGCCATAATGGGCAGTGCTTGCGCCGGCGCCGGTCGCGCCTGCAGCCCCAACAGCGCGCCGCCTGCGAGGAGCCGCCGGCTCCGGCACTAGCGCCCAACGCGCCGACGCAGCACCAGCGACAGCGCGCGGCCCCGCCGCCGGCGCAGGCGTCAGGACGGACGAGGGCGCAGCGGCCCCAGGAGGGCGCCCGCAGCGACGCGCGCACTGGCGCCGGCAGCGCCGAGGGGTCCGCGGGGCAGCCGTGGGCGCAGCAGCCCCAGGGCGCCGAAGCCGGCTGCGCTGCGCCGGAACCAGCTGCACCGACGCCGGCTGCGCCCGCAGCGCTGCGCGCGCCGAAGCTGGCGGCGCCGAAGGGGCCGGGGGAGAGCCCGGCTGGCCCCAGGGAGTGGGCCAGAGGCGCGGCTCGAGCGGCCCCCGCACGCGGCGCCCACGCAGCCCCCGGACGCGGCGCCCGCGCAGCAGGGGCGACAGCGGCAGCCCCAGCCGGCAGTAGAAGCCGCCGCGGGCGAACGCGCCGCCCCCCAAAACTGCAACGCTCCTGGCAGCCCCGGCGGCGCCGACCGCGCCTGCCCCCCCGGCCCGGGGCGCCGCGGCGGAGGCGGCGGTTCCGCGGAGCCCTGGCAGCTCGACAGCAGCTCCTACTGCAGCGGCAGAAGCGAGGACAGCGGCGGCCGGGCCCCCGCGCCGGCAGGGGCCAGCAGCGCCGGTCGGCCAGGGAGGCGCTGCATGACACCCGCAGCAGCAGCGGCGGCAACGCCGGCAGCTGGGCACGGCGGCGCCGGGGCTGCCGGGGAAGGAGGGGGCGGCGCCGCGGGGCGCGGAGCACCAGCGCCAGCATGCTCCCCCCGCCACGACATGCTCGGCACCCCCGGTGGTGGAGGCGGTGCAGGCGGCGCCCCGGGTCCTGGAAGCCGCGAGGGGCGCCGGGCGCCTTCGCTGAACGGGCGCCCCGCCGCCGCGTTCGCCGCGCCAGGCCCGAGCGGGGAGACTGGCGCTGACCCCCGCGCGGAGGAGCTGACGCACCGGGCGGGCACCAGCCCCCGGGGGGCGACGGACCTTGACCCGGGCGGGGCGACGCGGGCACCGGCCTCAGGCACCGGCCCGAGGGAGACAGGCGCCAGCCCTCACCTGGCGATGGGGCGTGGCCGCGAGGGGCCGCTGCTGGTGCCGGCGGTGGCACTGGACGCCGGCGAGCACGACATCGAGGCCGTCTAAGACCTCGACTGGGCGGCTGCTGCGGGCGCCTCCTCCCGCCTCCACGCCGCGCGCGGGCCCGACCCCGCGCGGCTCGGCCCCGCCTGCCCAGACCGCGGTGGCGACGCCGCCGCGGCAGCAGGGCGCGCCACGGGCAGCCGGGCTGCCTGCGAGGCAGAGGGAAAGCTGGGCCGACGCCGAGGACGACGCCGAGGGCGACGCCGACAGTGCGCAGGCGGCGGCCGGCGAGCTGAAGCAGGCGCCGGCTTGGGCCCTGGGGTCGGCCGCGGCGCCAGGCCCCAGCGCGGGGCCGGGGGCGCCCCCCGACGGCGCTGCCCCCGGAGGAGGCGACGAGGCTGCCCTCCTGGACTTAGCTCGCGACGAGCTACACGGGGCAGTCCGCGGCCACCTGGACGCGCGCGGCTGGGCCGCTGCGCGCGAGCTGGCCCCGACATTGGGGCCGCGCCTGCGCGGCCGCTGCCTCCGGGAGGCTCGGCGGGCGCTCCTGGAGGCCACCGCGGGAGTGGTCGCGCGGGACGCGGCGGCGGCCACCGCGGGACAGGCAGCTGCAGGCAGCTGCCGAGGCCGCCGGGCCGGCCTGGCCCGCCGAGCTGGCGGGACGCCAGCCCGCGCCGGGCGCTGAGCTCCGCTCGCGCTGGCGCGCCCTCTGCTGCTGGCCTCTGCGGGGGCCGAGCGCGGCGGCGGCGACTCAGCCGCCCCCCCGGCGCCGCGGGCGCGAGCTCCCCCCCCTCTCCCCTCTCTCTGCCCCTCGTTCGTCTGTCGTCTGTCGTTCTTCGTCGTCGTGTCGTCCGTCGCTCCGCACTCTGCCACAGGGCTCCTTACCGCAGGTAAAAAGTGCATGTGTTGCGATGCGTTGCGCGTGGGTTGCGGGGGGAGGAGGAGGAGGAGGAGGAGGAGGAGGAGGAGGAGGAGGAGGAGGAGGAGGAGGAGGAGGAGGAGGAGGAGGAGGGAGGAGGAGGAGGAGGAGGAGGATGAGAGGAGGAGGAGGTAGGGAGGAGGAGGAGGAGGAGAGGAGATGAGGTGTGAGCTTCGCAGGTGGGACACGGGAGGGAAGAAAACCATAACCCCACGAAGCACGTGGTGAATAACGTAGCGTTCATTGACGGTGGCAGTGACAAGCTGCGCCGATGAGGTGGAATGCGCAGGCAGCAGCAACCCAGAGAGGAACGAGAGAAATTATAGGGATCCAGACATCCGACGTCATATATTCTGTCATTGCGCCCACCAAAAGTCTCGACCAATTCCACGTGGCTGGCGTTTTCATTCGTAGCCGTTCTCGACGGCCCTGGAGCCCCGCGAGGGCCCCCATGCAGGCCAAATTCAACGAGAACGCTACCTATGTGCCCCGTCCTGCCTCTCAAGATGTTCGATGCCTGGGGAGCGGGGCGACGACGACGTCGACGTCAACGACGACGACGACGACGACGACGACGACGACGACGACGAAATGGGCCTCCTTCTCGACGGCGGCAGACGCCGGCACCGTCGTGCGGCTGCCGGCCGCCTGGTCCGCGGCGGGGGCGGGCGCCGCCGTGCGACGGTCCGCGGCTGCGGCGGGCGCCTGGCCCGCCGTAGCGGCGGGCGCGGGCTCCGCCGGGCGGCTGGCGGCCGCCTGACCCGCGGCAGCTGCGGGCGCGGGCGCCGCCGTGCTGCTGGCGGCCGCCTGGCCCGCGGCGGCGGCAGGCGTACACCTAAGGCTGGTCGCCGTCGCCGCTGGGCGGCCGGCGGCCGCGTCGCGCGCGGCGGCATTGGTGGCTGGCGTCGCCACCGCCGCGGGCGCGGGCGCCTCCGCCCTCGAGGTTTCCGCGGCGGCAGCGGTCTCGAATGGGCCGTCGCCGTCCTGGGTGGCGGCGGCGGCGAGGGCGACTGGGACGACGAGGGAGGGGGCGGCAACGGCGGCGGCAAGATCGAAAGCGGCGAAGTCGACAGCGCCGAGGGCGAGGAATGGGGAACAACGGCCACAATGTCGGTGACGCCAACATCGGGCAACGAGGGTGAGGACCCTCCCCCTCCTCCTCCTCTTCCTCCTCCTCCTTCTCTTCGTCCTCGTCCTCGTTCTGGTCCTGGTCCTGGTCCTGGTCCTGAACCTGGTCCTGAACCTGGTCCTGGTCCTGGTCCTGGTCCTGGTCCTAGTCCTGGTCCTCGTCCCTCGTCCCTCGTCCCTCGTCCCTCGTCCCTCGTCCCTCGTCCCTGGCCCCTGGCCCCTGGCCCCTGGCCCCTCGTCCCTCGTCCCCCGTCCCTCGTCCCTCGTCCCTCGTGCCTCCTCCTCCTCCTCCTCCTCCTCCTGCTCCTGCTCCTCCTCCTCCCCCTCCTCCTCCACCTCCTCCTCCTCCTCCTCCTCCCTCCCTCCCTCCCTCCCTCCCTCCACCCCCCCTCCTGCATCCTGTCTCCTGCCTCCTGCCTCCTCCTCGGGAGCGGGCCGCGCTGCGGTAGATGTTGCTGTGCGCAGGGCCACACTCTGGGCGTTGCCTGAGGACGACCTGTATGGCGCGGTCTTTCGTGGGTCGCAGGCAGCCGGCCACCCCTCCTGGGCCAGGGCATCGCTCTGCCTGCTGCAGGACTGGGGAGTGGAGGACTGGCCAATCTGGAAGGCACGGTGCGCGGGCTCCCTGGCAGCATACAAGGCATACGCAAAGACGGTCATCACAGGACGCTGTCTTGCTGCCCGTGCGCAAGCCCTGGACGGCCACCCCTACGTCCAGTTGCGGCCGTGTGTGAGCCAGGATCTTGCCAAGGGCTACGCCCTTGGGCTCCCTACCTCGTGTCTGCGTGCTCAGCGGTCGGTTTCGCGCCTCCGCGCGGGCCTCCTGACCCTCACGCACCGCAACCGCAGGCGCTCATGGGCTAGGCTGCAGTACTGCATTTTCTGCGAGGCCACCTTGGCTCCAGAAGAGGGCCTCTCCCATGCTCTCAATGTGTGCGGCGCATGGACAAAGGGGCGCGCAGCCTTCGGCCAAGCCCCGGGGGTGGGCGCGGGCGCGGAGCCAGGGGCCTCCCTGGGGGCCGAACCGGGGTCGCCGGGCTACCAGCAGCTGGCAGAGTGGGCAGGTGCTCTGGACTCTAGTGCCACGGAGTTCTGGAGCGGAGCCCCTTGAAAAGTGCGACCCGGCACTCCCCGTTTTTCTCCCCGCCCTCCTTTTCTCCCCTGCCAGGGAGGCTGCGTGAAGATGCACCCCCGGGGCGTCCTATCGCCGCCCTCCTGCGCCTCTGGTTTCCTCCTCTCTCTTTTCCCCCTCGTCCCTGCTCCTGCTTCTCTTGCTCTCTTCCTCCTCGTCCCCGTCTTCGTCTTTGTCCTCCCTCCCCCCTGCTGCGCTATGTTGGTTTCCTGGGGCGGTGACCCCTGGGGGGCGCTCTCGTTGCCGCGACGGGGTGCGGCAGGGAAACTGCGTCTCTGCTCGGCTTGGCTCGGGGTTCTGCCCTCTTCTGTCCGTCCCCCCCCCCCCCTTTTCGCGCCCTCCCCTGTCGTCCTTGCGCCCCCCCCTCCCTCCGGATTGTCTGGAGGGAGTGCGTTGAGGATCCCCTGATCTTCCTAGCCCCTCCCCATCTCCGGGGGTGCTGGGTTCTCCCACCTGATGGGAGCTGGGAGTGGTGGAATTTCCAGGGCTCCCCGTCCACTCCTCCGTCCAGACTCAGCCGCCTTCGCCCTCGCCCTGCCGTCTCCGGCTGCTCAGTGCGCCCTGGCCTCAAGGGGATCAGGTAGGACTGAGGCCGCGGAGGTGGGTCGAGGGCGGGGGCAGCGGCTTGAGCCACCGCGGCTTGAGCCACCGTGGCTTGAGCCACCGCGGCATCCCAGTGCTTCCCCTCCCCCCCCCTTCCGTCGGAAGAGCCTCGAGAGGAGTAGTTGAAGGTGACCTCGGGGGCATCCCAGTGCTTCCCCTCCCCCCCCTCCCGTCGGAAGAGGCCCGAGAGGAGCAGTGCGAAGGTGACCTCCGGGGCATCTCAGCGCGCCCCCCTCTCTCCGGATGGTGTCCCCTCGCTTCTCGTCTGCCTCCTGCTCCTTTCTCCCTGCTCCTTCCTTCTGGGGCGAGGCCAGCGAGAGCGAGCCCAGGCCAGTCCGGGCCTGCCCAGGCCTGCCCGGGCCAGCCCAGGCCAACCCAGGCCAGTAGAGGCCATCCGAGGCCAGCTCAGGCCAGCCCCGACCAGCCCAGGCCAGCCTGAGCCAGCCGCGGCCTGTCCGGGCCAGCCGAGGCCAGCCCGGGCCAGCCCAGGCCAGCCCAGGCCAGCCCAGGCCAGCCATCCTTTTCTCCCTCTTCCCTCCTCCCTCCTCCCTCGTCCCCGTCCTCTCCTCCGTCCAGACTCAGTCGCCTTCGCCCTCGCCCTGCCGTCTCCGGTTGCTTAGTGCGTCCTGGCCCCAAGGGGGTCAGGTAGGACTGAGGCCGCGGAGGTGGGTCGGGGGTGGGGCTGGGAGCGGATCCGGATGGTCTCCACCACCCACGCTGGCAGACTGCGGTATGCCTTGCAAGGACTGGATGGCTGACCCCAGGGCGGATCCCTTTTACAGCTCCCTGTCCGCACTCACGTGCGCTCGCTCGGGAAACCCTTGGTGCAAGGTGGGATGCCCTCCATCCCCTGCTTCTCCTGGGATCGCCAGGGAGGTGGGGGGGCCCTCCTTCCACCAGAGCTGTTGTCCCCTGTGCGCGGATGTGGGAGCCGACTGAGGTCAGGCCGCGGCTGGTCCACCTCCCGGCTGCCCTCGGGGTGCTGTCCCTGCAGCCCTCAAAGAATGCCCACAGTGGCCACCAGCCAGCCTCCCTCCCTCCCTCCCTCCCTCCACCCCCCCTCCTGCATCCTGTCTCCTGCCTCCTGCCTCCTGCCTCCTCCCGCCTCCCTCCTCCCTCCTCCCTCCTCCTCGTCCTCCTCTTCCTCCTCCTCCTCCTCCTCCTCCTCCTCCTCCACCTCCACCTCCTCCTCCTCCTCCTCTTCCCCGTCCTCCTGCTCCTGCTCCTGCTCTACATGCTCTTACTCCTCCTCTTCCTCTTATCCTCGTCCTCGTCCTCGCCCTCCCCCTTTCCCTCCTCCCTCCTCCCTCCCTCCTCTCCTCCTCCCTCCCCTCCTTCCTCCCTCCTTCCTCTTTCCCTCCTCCTTCCCTCCTTTCCCTCCTCCTCCTCCTCTCCTCCTCCTCCTTCTCTTCCTCATCCCTCCTCCTCCCGCTCCTCCTCCCCCTCCGCCTCCGCCTCCTCCTCCTCCTCCTGTGCCTCCTCCTCCTCCTCCTCCTCCTCCGCCTCCTCCTCCTTCTCCTCCTCCTCCTCCTCGTCCTCGTCCTCGGCCTCGTCCTCGCCCTCCCCCACTACTTCTCTCCCCCATCCACCATCCCCCTCCCCTCCTCCTCCCCGCCCCCAACCTGGCCCCCCGCCCCCACCCCATCCCCCGCCACATCCCCCTCCCCCCTCCCCCTCCCCCCCCCCCTCCCGTCGCCCGTTCCCGAATCCGTCCCCCGTCCCCCGACCCCGTCCCCCGTCCCCCGCCCCCGTCCCCTCCCTTCCTCCTCCTCCTCCTCCTCCTCCTTCCCTCCTCCTCCGCCGCCTCCTCGTCCTCTTCCTAATATGCTTTTTCTGCCTTCTCCTCCTCCTCCTTTCCCTTTCTCCTCCTCCTCCTCCTCCTCCTTCCTCCTCCTCTTCCTCCTCCTCTTCCTCCTCCTCCTCCCCTCCCCATCCCTCCGCACCCTCCTCCTCCGCCTCCTCCTCCTCACCCTCCACCCTCGTCCAGTCTCCCTCCTCCCTCTGGCCTCCTTCCCCTCCCCTCCCCCCTCCCTCCTCCCTCCTGCCTCCTGCCTCCTCCCTCCTCCCTCCTCCCGCCTCCCGCCTCCCGCCTCCTCCCAAACTCCTGTTTCTTGCCTCCTGCCTCCTCCTCCACCTCATCCTCCTCCTCCCATTCATAGTTTGTCCCTTTTCCCCCTCATCCTCTTCCTCCTCCTCCTCAGCGTCCTCCTCCTCCTCCTCCTCTACAATTTCACCAGCTCTCTTCTCATCGCGTTAATCCCCCTCCGTCATGTCAGAACCGCGACGGGAAATCTGGAGGAGGATGAGAAGGAAGTGGTATGAATACTATGAGGAGGCTGTCCGTGGTCCGCTTCACGTTTTCACCCCGCCCCCAAATCTTGTCACACCTCACCATCCTCGTCGTTGTCCGCACTCCGTCACTCGTCGTCATCCGACTCGTCCCCCCCATCGCCATGATGGACGGACGAGTGGCGGGTGGGCGAGGGAAATGCGGAGGGAGGGGGGGTATGAAGCAGAGGAGTGGGTAGAGGGAGCGGATGAGGTGCAGGAGGAAGGAGCTACGACCATGAGGGACAGCATGAGGATAATGGAGACGGATATGATGATGATGATGATGATGATGATGATGATGATGATGATGATGATGATGATGATGATGATGATGATGATTATGATGATGATGATGATGATGATGATGATGAAGATGATGATGATGATGATGATGATGATGATGGTGATGATGATGATGATGCTGATGATGATGATGATGGTGATGGTGATGATGATGATGATGAGGATGTCGATGATGATGATGATGATGGCGATGGCGATGATGATGATGATGCTGATGATGATGATGATGATGATGATGATGATGATGCTGATGATGATGAGGAGGAGGAGGAATGATCGGAGGAGCAGCAGGACACGTATGATAAAGACGCGGAGGAAGAGGAGGGGGAGGAGGAGGAGTAGGAGAAGGAGGATGATACTGCGGCGCGCAATTCATGGGCAAGTGCGGATGATGAGGATGAGGATGATGAGGACAACGATCGTGCGTTGGAGGAGTATCTCCTACCCCTCCTCATCATCACCGCCATCCGAATCACTTCAATCTCGTTACTCGTCATACCACTCATCCCGGCCATCCTGGTTTTCATTGGTCTCATATCTCCCAAATGAAAGGGGGAGAGAGAGTGATATGGTGATGGGGAAGCATGGTGGCATGAGCAAGACGAGTTGCAAGATGATGTTGGTGAGGTTCGGGAAGTCGTAATCCCCACTATGCTGCTGATATCAGCCCTCATTCTCCTCATCGCCCTCTTCTACCACTCCTCCTCAAAATCCCCATCCGCATCCGATTCCCCCTATGGGAGGAGGAGGAGGAGGAGGAGGAGGAAGAGGAGGAGTAAGATGAGGAGGAGGAGAGAGAGGGTGGAGGAGAGGGGAGACGGGATGATGGAGAGGAATGTCCCTTCAGGCATCACGCAATGCGCCTCCTTATGGTTATCCCCTCTGGCCGCTCCTCTTCCTCTCTCTCTCCTCCTCATCATCCTCATCCCTCTGTCTCCTCCCTCCACGTCCGCCCTCTATGTGGGTGCTATGGGGAAGAGGAGGAGGAGAAGAAAGAGGAGGGGGAGAAAAACATGAGTGACAGAAGGAAGAAGACAAGGAGGACGACCAGGATTGATGGGAGCAAGAGTAGGAGTAAGGCGAGAAGGAGGAGGAGTTTTTAACACGTGTGCTTTGGCGTGCGCATGCGTGCCAGGGGTCTCGGCACCCTGGACGGGCGCGCGCCGCACGCGCCCGCGGGAGGGGGAGGAGAAGGAGGAGGAGGAGGAGGAGGAGAGGAGAAGGATGATGAGGAGGAGGATAGGGGTGGACGAGCAGGAGGAGGGAGAGGAAGGGGAAGGGAGGAACACCGTGCACGGAGGAGGGCATCATGGTGAGTCTCTGTCTTTCTATATGTTTCTTTCTCTCTCTCTCTCTCCCTCTCTCTCTCTCTCCTTCTCTCTATCTTTCATTTGTTTGTTATCTCTCTCTCTCTCTCTATATATCCCTTTCGTCGCTCTCCCAACTCACAATTTCTTGCCCCCGAAGCACCAAGAAGGCTTCCGGCGGGAATCCGTCGACAAAACTTTCAACTATCTGAACACCGCGGGGGGCCGAAACCGAACCGAAACCCGTCATTCCCATGGTCTTCCTCCAGGACCCTCGTCGACGCGTTGAAACGTAAGGTGGGCGAACCATTCTCCTTTTACCGTTCCTTAGAAAACAACAACCACTTCTTCCACGGCAGCTCTGGGCGACTGTTTCTCGACGCGTTGGGCGTCGTTCCGCCCAGGCGTTTCTGAGCTGTCTCGGGTGAAGCAAGAGACGCCTCCGAAGCGCGGGGGGACAACACAAATTCTGGGCGTCCCCCGCGGCAACGGGGACGTCGATACCAAAGGTTTCGATCGTCTCGACATCGACGTATGGATTACCCAGAAATTCGTTCCGTATACATCGACTGTCGACTGAGATGCTGCGCGGTGCTCTTCGGCAGACGAAGCCGGTCGCCCTGCCAACTGAGATGGCTCTTTTTCAAATTGGCCGCTCCCCCCCACCTCAGGTCGGGGGGGGTCGCCAAGCCAATGTTTCCTGACGCCGCCCTCGCACTAGTCTCACACGAATCGGACTCTGACCTCGAAAGTGTACCTGGGATTTCCTATGGCGTCCAAATGTTGTATCCCTCGGGGTGAGGAAACACGAACTATTTTACCATTTATTCTTCATACCGATCTTCATAGTGTCGCTTCCGTGTCGGGACATTGCCACTGTCCTGACGTTCCTCATGACGTTCATCATCGCGTTAGTCGTCTGTCGCAACTTCGGCTGATAACCCATCTTTTTGCCAGATAATCGGTCCTACTAAACGAGCGTTGTCCTCGCTAGGGTCTCCTAGCTCAGGGGTTCCCTTCCCCAGGATCCTGTTGACGGACGGACCCTTCACATAAACATGCGGCATTGCTACATAATTCCTTTCAATAAAAGTAAAGATGGGATGTGATCCGCCCGTGCGCGCTAAGAGATACGCGTGCGTACCTTTCTGCCAGGGAGCGATCCACGTCCCACTCCTCATGTGTGAGATTTGGGCCAAACACGCGGAAACGCGCGCGCAGGCTTATGCAAAACACCGGGCGGGAGAAACGGCAATAACGATTTCCTCTTCCTCTTCTTCCTCTTCCTCCTCCTCCATTTCCCCTCCTCCGACTCCTCCGCCTCACACTCCTCCGTTTCCTCCTCCTCCTCCTCCTCCTCCTCCTCAACCTCCTCCTCCTCCTCCTCCTCCTCCTCCTCCCTCTCCTGCGCCTTCTCCTCCTCCTTCTCCTCCTCCTGTTTCTCTTCCTCGTCCTCCTCCTCTGCATCCTCCTCCTTTTCCTCCTCCTTTTCCTCCTCCCCTTCCTTCTCCTCCTCCCCCTCTCCCTCCTCTTTCCTCCCTCCTGATCCTCCTCCTCCTCTTCCTCCTCCTCCTTCTCGTCGTCCTCCTCCTCCTCCTCCTCCTCCTCCTCTTCCTTCTCCTCCTCCTCGTCCCCCTCCTCGTCCTCTTCCTCGTCGTCCTCCTCGTCCTCGTCCTCCTCGTCCTCCTCGTTTTCCTCCTCCTTTTCCTCCCTCTCCTCCTTCTCTTCCTCCTTTTCTTCTTCCTCCCCCTCCTCTTCGTCATCTTCCTCTTCTTCCTCCTTGTCTTCCTCCTCCTCTTTCCTCTTTCTCCTCCTCCTCCCCCCCCCCCCTCCCCCGCCCCCCCCCCCCTCGAGGGGGGGGTGGGATCGCCGGCCAGCCGCGGCGGCCTCGGCCGCGCTTTCGTCGTCGGCGGCGGTTCCCTCCTGGGCGCGCTGGGGCGACGTCGGGGGGCTCCGTCCTAGCAGCTGCCTTTTTCGCTCAGCCATCCTCCTTCGTCCGTGCTCCCCTCCTCCCTCCTCCCTCCTCCCTCCCCCCTCCCCCCTCCTCCCTCCTCCCTCCTCCCTCCCAGCTGCCGCCCCGGCTCGAGGCTTTGGGTGCAGGTGTCAGACACCTGCGAGCCTCGACCGCCGCCGGGCAGCTGCCATACGCGCTGGCCGCCGCGCACGCCTGGCGCGCAGCGGGCCGGCCGTGCCCCGCCCACGCTGCGGGCCGCCACGCCTCTCGGGAGGCGCCGAGCGCGCGCCAACCCAGCCTGGCACCGTCGTGCCCGCTGGCTGCGCGGCCAAGCTCGCGTGCTGGTGCGCCTGGCAGACGCGAGGGCTCGTCTCGGGGTTGCTGGACGCGACCCGAGGCCGCTGGCCGACGCCAGCCCACGCCTCCGTGAGCATCACAGCGCCGCCTCGCCCGACGCCAGCATGTACGGCAAGGGCGGCGCTGGGGGAGGCAAGGGCGCTGGGCCCTCAGGAGGGGGACGCACTGGCGCTGGCGGCAAGGGGCGCCACGCGGCTACGAGCGGCCCGAGCCAGGCGACGCCGCCGTGGCACGTCCCGCCGCCGCCGCCTGGCTGGTGGTGCTCGTCGTGCGGCGGGCTCAACGGCCCCGCCGACGCCCTGTGCCGCACCTGCTTCCCCCTCCCCGAGCACGGGCCAGTGCACGGAGAGGGGGGAGGAGCAGCTCGCCCGCGCGCGGGCCCGCGCGGCGACGGCCGCCAGCCTCGATCTGCCTCGAGGCGTAGGCGCCGCGGCGGCAAGGGCGAAGCAAGACAGCCAGAGGCCGAGCCGCGGCCGCGGTCAGCCTCGCAAGTCCGCATCGAGGACGAGGGCACGGAGGACGACGGAGGCGATCCGCGGCCGCGGTCGGCCTCGAGCCGCCGCCGGCGCTCCGCCGACGGCGATGGCCGACGGAGGCGGCCTGCGGGAGGCGAGTCCGACGCATCGGATGGCGAGGAAGACGGCCGCAGTCCCGCGCTCGGCATCCTGCCCGCGCTGCCGTTGGACGCGCGGGCTCACACAGCCTGGGTCGAGCCGCCGTCGGATGAGCGCGGGCTCGCGGCCCACAGGCGCTCACTGCGCCAGATGGCCGCCGCCGCGGGCAAGAGGCTGCAGGCGGCCATGGAGCTCGGCATGAGTGCTGAGCAGAGGCGGCCGCAGGAGGAGGAGTACGCGGTGCAGCTCAGCATGATTATCCTTGCCCGCCCCGCTGGCGTCCGCTGCGACCGCCAGCGCAGCTTCGCGCAGCGGGCTCAGGCCAAGCTGGAGAAGGCCGAGGCCGCAGCTGCGCGGGCGCGAGAGGAGCTCGCGGAGCAGGAGGCGAAGGTGGCGCAGCGCGCCGAGGCCCTCGGTCGGGCCAAGACGCTGCTGGAGCAGCTCGAGGCCATGGCCCCCATGGGCGACGAGCCGATGGAGGAGCCCATCGCGCCGACGCCCGTGGCGGGCGCCGAGGGCGACGCAGCCCCAGGCACGCCGCCCGACCGCGCGCCGCCCATCGCAGAGCTGCAGGCTGGCCAGGCGGCCCTCACCCAGCAGCTCGTCGGCCCCACGCAGCTGCTGACGACGATGCAGGGCCAGATGGCGGCGGCCCGCGGCGGAGCGGCGCCTGGCGTGACCACTGCGCCTGCGCCCGACGTGCGGCCCTTTGCAGGGCCCCCCCAGCGCTTGGGGCCAGCTGCCCCCGCGCCCAGGACCGAGGCCCCTGCCGCGGCCTACCCCGTGCCGGCCGACGCACCTGTGGCCCGCGCCCCCCAGGAGGGGCCCCCGCCTGCTGGCGCCGCCGCGAGTGCGGCATGGGGCGCTGCTGGACCCGCCGCCGCCGAGGCCGTCGAGGTGCCAGTCAGCGCCGAGGGGGATGTTGCTGCTGCCGTCACGGCCGAGGCAGCCCGCAAGGCGAGGGCAGCTCAGCGTGCTGAAAGGAAGGCTGCAGAACGTGCACGTCGCCCTGATGGCCAGCAGGGACTACGAGACGCATTGGCTCGCCAGGCGTCAGCGCGGCCAGGCGCGAGCAGCCGCCGTGGCCGAGGCGCCCTGCCGCCGTCGCCGCACGGCCGCGCCGCCGTCGCCGCAGAGGCGGGAGAGGATGCCGCCGCAGGGGCGGCCAACCGCCGCCAGCGGCACAGCCGCAGCCACAGCCCACGGCGGGAAGCGCCCGACGGCTTCATGCCGTGCGGCGGCCGCGCCGGCTCCACCGAGGGCAGCGAGGGAGCTACGTCGACGCTGGGGTGACGTGGCTCGGCGGGCGGGCCTCGGGGAGCGAGAGGGCTGCCACTGAGCCGTCTCAAGGCCCGCCTGCGACTGGCGCGCCGCCAGTCATGCCGACTGCCACGAGCGGCAGCCTTGTCGGCCGAACCGAGGGTCGATCCGCGAGGGGAGGGGGCCATAGTGGGCGCTCCGAAAGGAACTCGCGAAGCCCCCGCCCCACAGCGGCGCTCGCCGAGGTAAGGTCGACGAGTGCATCTGCTCCCTCGCCTCGGATGGAGTCCGAGGCCCAGCAGCAGCCACGCTGCCCAATACCAGATTGCACCGATCTAGTCAGGCTACTGTGTCAGCCCTGGCTATCTTGCTCTCTCACTCCCGTCTTTCTTGGGCCAACTCAACTGCCCGAACATTGCCTCTTTCATCCTTGCCTTCATAGTAGTACCTGCCAATTTTTTGAGACCCACGGAGCTTCTCTCCCCCCCCGACAGTGAGCAGGTTGTCAGGATGGAGGTGCATACGGACGGGTCTGGTGGGACCAAACAACAGCACTTGGGTGGGCCACCGTCTTGGGCATGGTGCATATTTTCGGTTACGACGACTGGCAGGTACATCTGTGAAGGGTACTTGTGTAGTGTCGATCCTGATCTCTCCACCTCTGTTGCGAGCCCAGCTGGAGCTTCAGAATTTCAAGCCGCACTGTGGCTGGTGCTATGGTTATTGCAAGCTCCTCCTCGTTTTCGGGCCCAACCCGTGGTGGTATACACAGATAACATGCTGGTGGTTTCCGCGGCCGACGGGGGAACGAGATATGCGTCGTGCGGTGATTTCCCATGGCTCTTCGATGGGGCCCTCAAGCTACTACGTCAGTTTACGAAGCTGAGCTGGAATCACGTCCTCGGCCACAATGCCGATCCGCTGAATGAGCTTGCAGATACCATAGCACGACTGGCTTCCATGGGAATTGCGCCGACAGTAGAGCCTGACTTTCAACCGTGGTCAGTTTTGCTTGCGTCAGCCTCTCTTGTACCATGGATGTGGATGTCTGCCAATTCCAACTTCGGTCATGGGGAGTATCCGAAAGTTGGCGCATGCGAAATGCCCTCCATCAACCCTCCCGAGCTAGATCTCAGAACTGCCTTCTTGCCATCTGCTGGCCGCGGCTCGGAAAACTCGTCTGTGCCACGAGTATCTCCGACATCAGGTTTGCAGCCTCAGGTGAATTTTGCAGTGGCGAACGTACTCACACTGCGGCCCCGCAGGAAGGCTGCCCGACGAGGGAGAGGTACTCGAATACGGTGTCGGTACCAAGACGCGGCCGGCCTGGGTTTGCCCGGACGCATGCTCGCACTGGCTCATCAGTTCTCCGCGCGCAACTTTCATGTGGTTGGCACCCTTGAGACTCGGTTGTGTCGTAACGGTTGGACAGCAGCATGAGATTTTCTTGTCATTACCGCAGCAGCCGAATCCAAGGGGAAGGCAGGAGTGGCCTTATGGATCAACACACAACATGAGTACGCATGTGGGCACACGCTTGCGCGCCGTCACATACGTGTGATCAGCTTCTCGTCTCGGCACTTGTTGGTAGCCATACGTGCGCCTCACCTGTGTTTGGACGTGCTCGTCGGCCATGCTCCCCACTCTCGCCGTCCTCCTGCTGATGTCGAAGCGTGGTGGGCCCATGTGACGTCAGTGCTACGTGGGAGAACCCAGCCGGCCCCTCTGTACTGTCTATTGGATGCGAATGCGACTTTGGGATCACAGGTGTCAGATCATGTCGGTGACGTGGCGGCTGAGGTTGAAAATGCCAATGGACAGTGCTTTCACAAGTTCCTGCGTGACTCGGACCAGTGTGCGTTGTCTACATTCCTGCCGTCATACTCTGGGATCCATGGGATCTGGTTACCACCTGGGGCTCAGGGCCAAAATCCGCAACGACGCATCGACTACATAACGATGCCTATGGGCCAACTATCTAGCGTCATTCGTCAGGGAGTCGATATCGAGATCGAGCTAGCGATGCGATGTGACGACCATTTTGTGGTTACTGCTGATGTGTACGTGTGCCGTGCCGATCAGTATAAGCCAGCCATCACATGGACACGCTCCCGACACGACGAAGCTAAGTATGCTGATCCCGAGTGTCGTGCTGCGTTCGAAGATGCCCTTCGCATGGTGCCCTCGCCGACTTTCACAACACATCCAGATGATCATGCCGCGTATCTCAACAGGCATATCTTGGAGGCCCCTGCAATCGCTTTTCCACCCAAAAGGTCCGACAGTGGCCGTGAGCCCCGTCGCAGTTGGATTTCCCAGGGATCCCTCGACCTTATGGATCAGCGCACGTCTGGGAGACGTGCGCTTCGGGCCCTACGGGCCCAACTGCCCAGGCTTTTCCTGGCGTGTGTGTTTGTGGCGTGGGCCTCGGACGGGGCCATGGATGGCGAGTGGTTCTGTCACCGGACACGCCGTTTCCGACATAGTGACCGTGACGGACCGTCGCATCATCCACTCTTGCAGATATGTCGACGGATCGCGGATGCCGCTGACCAGGTTCTTGATGCCACCAAGGTTTTTGCGACGCCTCTACGAACACCACAGGGCAAGTTGACCGACCCACCGTTTACCCAGGACCACATCGTCGGCCTGCGATACCTAGGACGGCTGCCCACCGCGTATGAGCTAGCCGATGCCCCACGTGGTTTTCGGTTTCAGCTGCCCAACGTTCATAACTT